GCCCTTGCCCTTGCCCTTGCCCTTGCCGTCACCCTTGTCGTACTTCACATGGGCCCAGTCCAGTTCGCAAGTTCTACTCCGCCTCTCGCTCACGGCGTATCCCCACTCGCCTAGTTGGACGACTGGGTACACGCCGATGTATTTTGCCTCCGCCACCATTCCCACCAACAACGTTTCTTCGACTTCCGACAAGAACGCTTTAGCTCGGGCTTGCGAGATACACGCGGTCAAACCCGCGTACGGACATCCGTTGATGCCGTTGAAAAAGATAGGCGTCGCGTCCACCACCGTTTTCTTGTCAAGCGCCTCCAACGACGCAGCGGCGTGCTCGCAAATGGCCCCCGCTGTTTGGCTAGCCGATCGCTGATGAAGAAGCATCCTGAGAGACGAACAAGACGAGTAAACATGCGACAACAATCCAGTAACGACGACAATTCAGCAACACCTTCGACAAAACGAAACCCGTCTGAAAACAGCCATATTCGGGCCGGCCAATACTTCAAGGAGCGTCGACCTGGTGCTTCATGCACCATTTGGCATGACCCCACCAACAACAAATAACAGCAAGCGAACACTGGGCACACCCTGTTTAACATGGCTAACCGGTTACACCCTGTATCTCATGGTTCGCTCACGTGTGACACTCTAACCTAGAGCAGCTGCTCAGCGATGAAGGCTTCGGGTTCGTCGCTGTTGGCGCAGGACTCTGTAGCACCGTCGTGACTACCCGGTTTTGGTTCGCAGCGATGCATACCGACAGCGTGATGTTTACAGCACTATCCGCTGCAGGCAAGCGAATCACGCTCACGGGTACATGCCGCGGAGCTCCTCGTCCTCTACCGTCCCCTAATCCGGCGACCAAACCCGTACCCCTTGATACCCGGTTGGCTGGTGGCACCGCCCGTGTTTTCCTTGAGCAGCTGGTTAGATGGTGACAATTGTAGGAAATTGGGAGGTCGGATTTACTTTCGAGACACGTTGCGAGCGAGAGGCCTACATAGGCAACGTGTCCCGTGCCCAGGTTTGCGAGGGTTTTGGGGGTCGAACCCACAACATCAATCTTCATCTCTAGGTCGCGGCGAAAACATGACGCAAGAAGGGAAAACCGACCTGCTCGAAAGAGGGGGACGATATGTGACAAAGAAAAGGAAGAGGCTCACCTTTTGCACTCGCACCACGTCTTGATGCTTTTGTGGCACTCNGGTCCTTGTCCGCGCAGGTCTGCCGACTCCTGTGCCACCGCTGGCATTAAGGGCACCAACTCCCGTTCCTGGTGAGGGTTGCACACCGCCTCTCCCGCGGCCATTCGCTGGTGCAGCGGGACCAGCCCCCCTTGCTTGGCTACCGCCCCGCCCAGGACGTTGGCCGCCGACGCCGGCACCACCACCTCTACCACCGCTCAGAGTTTGGCTATCGCCCCGCCCAGAACGATGACCGCCGACACCGGCACCCCTACCTCTACAACCGCTCAGAGTGCGCGCAGGTCTGCCACCTCCTCTGCCGCCGTTGGCGTTTGGTAGCAGCGCGCCCTACACGCCCATCGCGGGCACCTATCCTCCAGGCAGGTCTCTTTTTCTGGTTTCCGCATGAAGGCAATGCACCACACGCGGAGCACCGGCGGTTTAGTGTGGTCCTTGTCCGCGCCGGTCTGCCGACTCCTCTGCCACCGCTGGCATTATGGGCACCAACTCCCGTTCCTGGTGAGGGTTGCACACCGCCTCTCCCGCGGCCACTCGCTGGTGCAGCGGGACCAGCCCCCCCTGCTTGGCTACCGCCCCGCCCAGGACGTTGGCCGCCGACGCCGGCACCACCTCTACCACCGCTCAGAGTTTGGCTATCGCCCCGCCCAGGACGATGACCGCCGACACCGGCACCCCTACCTCTACAACCGCTCAGAGTGCGCGCAGGTCTGCCACCTCCTCTGCCGCCGTTGGCGTGAAGGGCACCAACTTCCGTTGTGAGGGTTGCACACCGCCCCGCACAGGGACTCGGCCGCCGACACCACCCCTCGCGCGGCCGCTCACTGCAGCAGGGGGACGAGCCCCCCGTGCTTGGCTACCGCCCCACCCAAGAACGTGACCGCCGACGCTGACGCCGACACCACTGCCTCTACCACCGCTCAGAGCGCTCACAGCAGACCCACTTTCTTGGATACCACCCCCTACAGGACCTGGACCCCAAGCTGCGCAAGATAGAGCAGATAGCGTGTCCTGCTGCATGAGTCCCACACCGCTCGCTGTAGTTCTTGGAGCAGGTAGAGGAGGTGCTGATGCTTCACTAGATCCTGGCTGCTGTACTAAACTGGCAGTGCTAGATAGTTCAGTGCTACGGTGGTTGACCGTTCCTCCTTGCACGAGTTCCACACCGCTCGCTGTTCTTCTTGGAGCGGGCAGCGGAGTTGCTGATGCTTCACTGGATCCTGGCTGCTGTGCTACATTGGCCAGAGTGCCGAGTGCCAGACACAAGTTCGGCGCTACGGTGGTGGACCATCCCGCCTTGCACGAGTCCCACACCGCTCGCTGTTGCTCTTGGAGCAGGCAGAGGAGGTGCTGATGCTTCACTGGATCCTGGCTGCTGTGCTAGATTATTGGAAGTGCTAGACGCAAGTTCGGCGCTACGGTGGTTGACCGTCCCTCCTTGCACGAGTCCCACACCGCGCGGTGTTGTTCTTGGAGCAGAGAGAGGAGTTGCTGATGCTTCACTGGATCCTGGCTGCTGTGCTAGATTATTGGAAGTGCTAGACGCAAGTTCGGCGCTACGGTGGTTTCTATGCATCGGCGGCGTAGAGCACTCCGGTGCTCCTGTGTGTCTGTGTGTTCGAGCATGTAGCCTTCGAACACGGAAACAGTCCCGTGTGCCGTCGGTCTTCAGGGGCGTCGGTGATTGGCTCGACTGCTAATACATTCCCACATTGTAGCCCATACATTTGTAGTGCCAATTTTTTTGGCTCGTGAAGACTACTAGCTTGCCGAGAGTATAGGTGTTTGTATTTACGGGGACTCAGAAAAGACCTCGGTTTTGAGCTCTGCTCGAAAACTCGAGGACAGCAGCAACAAAAAAGGCGTCGAAAAAGTCGAAGAATTGAACGACATATGCAGCAAAGTCTGAAATCGGGCTTATCTTCTGGGGCGAAGGAGGTATAGCAGTACATTTCATCTTCCGCTCCTCACAAAACTCAGCTTTCAGATTTCAACTGCTCTGTCTTCTGCGTTTCTCCAAGGGGGGTCGCAGACTAGAGTATGTGCCAACCCTCGTGTCCTTGAATAGGCGCAGAGGGGGGGGCGGGGCATAGGCCGCAGCGGTAGCGGAGGAGCATGGTGGGTGGGACAAAGCTCCACATCACACTGACGCCGTTCTCGTATCGCTCGGCTACAGAGGGAGAAGGATAGGTACAGAATCTGTTCCTTTGTCCTGGCTCAAAGTCGTTCTTCGAGCCAGCTGGCTGTTTGCAGGTTTCAGGCTGTTTGCAGGTTTCAGGTCCTGCTGGGAGAGGCGGAAAGACGGCGAGAGCCGAGACACAGCAGAGATCATTGCCGAGAAAAGACAAGCGTCCGACCTCTTACGTCAACAATGGTGGTCGGGGCTTATGTCAGGGTCCATCATACTGCCGTGGTGTTGCTGCTGCTGGCATTACTTTGCTGCGCCAGTTGTCTACAGGTAAGGAGGTCGGGGCGTGGCAAGTATTATGTCCGACGTCTGCGTTTCACCGGAGATGCGAGTGCGGGACATCGTCTTCATGTCTACTTGTCTACTGCTGTACCCCCTCGTCGTACTCTCCCCCGGCCATGGGCATAGGAGAAACAGCAGCCGTAGTTGTTGAGGCAGGCCGAAAGACAACACAAATTATTTGTCTTGCCTCTGCACCACGACGAAAAGGTGGCATTTTCGCACCGACGGTGTCGTGCCTTGTGGACAACAGCAGTGCTTGTTTCACGTTTTGCTGACAAGCTGGTGCTGCTGCCGATGATGACGGTTCAAGATTGAAAAATCAACAGGGTTTGTCGAAAAGAGGCAGTAACCCTAACCCTCTTGCCTTGCTCTCGTCGCACGTTGGTTGTTTTGCCCCCTCTCGTGCACACACACCCGTTTCTGGTTGGACAGAATTCTATGTATTTGTTGCAGGGTAAGCAGTATATATTGATGTCGGTGCAGGAGGGTAGCCATATACACAACTCCACGGACTGCTGCTGATGTGTAGATAGCAGCGGATCTAGCAGTTAGATAGCAGCGGATGCAGTGGTCGAACGACTGTAAAATCCAGCAATTAGTGTGGACCATGCCACAAATTGACTTGCAGCACATGTCGTTATTGTTGTTGAAGCAGTTGTGGACGAACGGAGGCACGCAAACTTGGCATCTGTACCTCCCTCTTTGGTAGATTCTGGACTCGTCGTTCTCTTATGCACACGTTCTGTTCTAGTCAGGAAAACGAAGCGCCCCTTATATCCCCCTATTGGTTGATTCACAGGATTCCCGTCGCCATAAAAGACCGATTTCATCATGGCCGTTAACAACTTATCCGGTGAGCACGTTCCTGTTTAGAATTTCGATTCTAACACCTTCCGACCCTCTCCCGCAACAATATTTTGCCGAGCAGCCCGCAGCAGTAGAAGAAACCTCGCGACGACAACGACCTCAGCAGCAGCAGCAGCAGGGCAATCAGGGCAACTCGCAAGGTAGGTACTCAATTTATCATGGTACGAAGAAGTACTTTTTATCATTTTGATGCCGGAGGGGAGCGTTGTTGTGGAATGCGAGGTACGTCGCTTGTGAGACGTGGGCTTCCCTCTTCGTTTGGCAAGCCTGTGCGGCGCTGACGACTTCGGTCGTGAAGAATGGTGGACGAAGCAGCCTTTTCAACCCTTGTTTGGCATCCATCCATTTTTTACGTTTCTACCCTTCCCTAAACCTACCCCTACCAAACACCACCGACTGATGTGAGGTCCGTGTACCGTGGATAAGGGCTTTGTAGGTTGCTGGAGACGTTGTAGGGCAAAAGCTGGTGCGTGTGAAATCATATTCCAAGGTTGGAGATCCACCCACGCATTTTACAGTGACGCCAAGCCTACGCCTCGGCACGGAGAGAATGTGCGATTTACATGGATATTGTAGCCGCGCCCACAAAACTGCGGCTCGACTTTTCGGGTCATTGGTTGGTTTTGACGCTTGAGGGGTGTTGCGGTTTTACTAGAAAATGATGCAGTTTGAGGCATGAAGAGATATGACGGGTGGTTCACGAGACAAATTATGTTTTGCATTGAGCGGGGCGCTAGAACACCAGCCATGTACTACTCTGTATGGATGGAGGCCCACATGCCGCCCGTGCGCCCGTTGTTCACCGTATTTTCTTGTTGAATGAAGCTCGACCCAATTCCGGCCCTCTCGTGTTTTGGATGCTACTCTACTACTACGCACTCAAACGAAGCCGGCGACCAAGCGATCAACCACGGTGAGGTAACAGACGTTGCCGGAGGCAGAGATGGGGCAAGGTTTCGGCGACGACTGCTGTCTAAAAGCACGACAACACCCCCAAACACAGGCGCGAACGATCAGCATCAGCAACTAGACACCGCGGGGGAACAAGAGGCATGGGAAGAACAGGCAAGAGCAGCAACGACGACGACGACCGTGGCAGCGAGAAGAGCAAACCCTGGTATGCATGGAAGCGAAGAAGGCGCGCGAGCAGCGGCGAAAGGCGTCTTGGAGGGGGGCGTCTACCGAGCGGCGCAGGTGCAGACGATGGACGTCCTGGAGGCGGAAAGCGGCGATGCCGTAGAGGCGGCGGTCGGGGAAGGAGCGGAGGAGGAGGAGGAGCAGCAGCAGCAGCAGGAGGAGGAGGAGGACAAGGGGATCGAGGAGGGCGAGGCGGGGGGGTTCGTGGTGGTGGCGCCGGATAGCGAGGTAAGTGAGGAGCGAGGGATAGCCTTCGTCGCTGGTGATGGTGTTACACTTCTCAAACGTTGGCTATGAGGAGGGCCCGAGCAGTTATGCCGGGTAAGTGCCTGATGCCATATACTCTTTTCCCCCGGCTGTTGGCAACGGTGTGTTTTCGCAACGAGTTTGCGCGCGCGGAGGTCTCCCTTGTGCCTCCCTCCTCCGTCTACTTCGGCCTTATAGGCCTCCATGACCCTCGAAAACAGCACTGCATACCGTGCATCTTTCTATTATGCTGCTGACATGTTTTATATCTGGCACGACGACTTTGGAATATATCACGTATCTCTATAAGTTCCTTCCAAGTTCTTATGTGGATACTTCGTATATCAGTCGCCTTTTTTTCGTATTGGTGTTCGAGAGCATAGCTGGCTACTGGTGTTGCCCTTATGTTTACTGAGTGGGTAACACTTCCGCTGCCATGCCGCTCCTGTTCCCGCATACCAACGTTCGTGCTTGAATGAACTTCCTATCAACAGCCGGAGCATAGGGGCCAAGGGGAAAACATCGACAACGACAACGCATCGACGAACGGGATCAGCAACAACGTCATGGTCATCGTTTTCTGCGCCCTGGCGTTCGTAGCGAACGGAGGCTTTCTTGTCTACGTCTTCTGGGTGATGTAGTTTGTCACTCCGATGCTGGTGTTTGAAGAACTCGTTGTTTCGTTTCGTGCAATGGTGGTGGTGGGGAAAAATGTCGCTTCTGCTCCATGTGCGTATCGCTGTTGAGGAGCGCATCGTGCCGATGATGATGGTGATGGTAATGACGGCATTGGGGTGTCGAATCGATTCTCGATTTTATTCGTACGGGTGTCCAGCGTGGGTGGATTCACGGAGTATGTTGTGTCCATGTCCGCTGGTTTGTCTCAATTTGGATGTCGTATGTTCCTATTGTATTATTGGCATATAGTAGTCTCACCCCTAGGATGTGTTCGATGCGGTACTAATGACACGTGGGTCTTGCACAGAGGGTTTGCTCGATTTCTCTCTATGTTCGAAGTGCTCAAGAAAGCGCGTTGTCGTCTAAGTGGCGGGCATCTTTGGGACCTTTCACCCTTAAGGGCAGGAGAAAGGAATATGCTCGCTGGGCGAAAGTCAGCAATGTCTGTTGTGTTTCTTTCAACCAAGGTGCTGCTGTATATACTGTATCTCTCACCTAATCATCTTTTTTTTTGTTCGTTTTTTTTGCGTCTCTTGCATCCCTTTGCTCCTACTGGAGTTTCGTGTGCCTCTATATCGTGTGCCTATTGCTCTTGGCATGGTCCCTTTGTGTGTTGTGTCTGACGTGACCGCTTGGTAGAACGTCGGAACGAAACGCTATCTCCCTCAAGAAAGCAACCAACCGCTGTGTGTACAGGCTGCGCTTGGCGGTGTGGTGGTACTGTTTCGATTCTTTGTTGGGGGGGAGGGAGGGTTAATCAGTGGGGAGTTAAACGGAGTGCTTGTTGTGTGAGTCAAGTAGGCGGTCGAAAAACAGCGTCCGCGGCCGTTGTGGGGATAGAGGTGCGTGTTGAGCCGTAGAAATCAAACCGGTTACCCAGCTAGGATCTCTTCCATGCTCGTGCGCATTTTGTTTGTGGTAGCCTCCGGAGACCATCCATCAATGGTGGCCCGTCTGGTTACGACTTGGTGATTCCCGCGAAGCTGGCCATACCTTCGCTCCCCGAAGTCATGGATATCGTGCTGGTGCTTGACGGTGCAGATGGCGCCATTCATTGTATGACCAACTATTTACAGATGGAATACGCTGGGTCATGTTCGGACTGCTCCATGCTTTGTTTGTAGCAATGTACCGGTGAAATCGTACCTAGCTACTGCTGCTGTAGATACCGAGGACTTTTATTTCGTACAACCTTCCACGAGTGAATGAATCTCCCGCACCGCACACACGACCCAGTTCGCATAGAACAAGATGATGTTAGCGTGGGAGAGCACGATGATGCAGCAACAATGCTGCCTGATAGTATTTGATTTTTGTCCTTGTACCTGAGAAGCAGGACACACAAATGCTGTCGACCAACTCCTGTCCTGCAAGCCCGCCCCCCTGTCGGTATAGACAACCCTTTTCTGTTCGTGTTCGCTCGTGTTTCCTACATAGAAGTGTATCTCTCGCTACAAGATTGACAGACGACGCTCCTTTCATTGTTCAGCCGGTTAGCGCGGTCGACGCTAATTAAAACGCACACAAGCTCAAGGTGCGATTTTCAAGACAGGACAACGAGAGGACTATCTCCTGCTAAGTAGAAGACTGCCCCCCCTTTCTCGCACCCCCCCCAATCTCTGCGGATGAACCCTTCCCTACAATTATACTATTTTCTCCAGCGGAGATTCAGTTGTTGCGAAAGCGGCGAGAGGGAGGCCTCTCGCTGTGCAGTTTTTTTTGTTTGTTTTTCTCCCATCATTGGACTCTGTCGTCTGCCCCTCTGGCCCCTATCCTCCACTTCTACTAGCTAGACGACCCAACCGGGGTCACATAGGAGGGGGGGTTGGACCCCCTCCTGCGGTTCATGCCTGAGGTATTTTTATCGCGAGAAGGGTACAGCAATCCCTTCCCTCGCGACTTACGAAGTCGATTATGGTTTACTAACAAACGAGCTTTGCAGCGCATCGCTTTCATCCGAGACCAGGATTTATTTAGTGAGAACAAAACTCTCTCCGTCGGGACTCGAACCCATGACCTGGCCCTTAGCAGGCTGCGAGGCTACCCACTAGACCACCGGGGCGACCGGGTGCAGTGTAGTGTACGGTACACATTAATCCCCTTCACAATGCTGCAATGACCAGTTTCATGTCCAAAGAATGTGAGGAAAACAGACGCGTGCATACCACGCCCCCCCCCGCACCAATCCCTATCCCAATTCTGAGCCCCCTCAACTTTTATGATTTCCACCGCCGCATGCATCATCCGCCAAATTCCCTTGCCGCAACACGGGTGTCGCTGGTCAGGTTGCTGTAAAGGCGCTTGGTATCAACGAGGCCATGGCAACATTAGACTCTGATGAGCTCGAATTCTTACGTCGTCAGTTCAAGGACGGGGGTGAGAGAAAGACGTCTGCACGGTATTCGTTGCAAGTATTTTTCCTTATTTTCGAGTGCAGAAGCGTCGAAAGGGGTACGGTACATGGTCCCGCCGAGATAGCTGTAGCAGCAGCACAGCAGCAATTTGTTACACGCGCTCCGTTGCTTGAAGACAAAGATGCGTATGTTCTAGTCTTTGGTCTTGGCTAAGGTTGTTGTTCTCCTACCCTCAGGGTACCTCACGGCTCCTACAACACGTCCGGCCTGTGTGCTCAATCGTCCGCAATTTTGGCCTCTGGCTTCTGTCTTTTAGTATGCAACGAATCCATCTCTTATCTAAGAAAAGAGTCCCTCGTGGGAGGTTTTATGATGACGGCTTGGCTGCACATCGTTGATCGGATAGATGCCTGCGTTGGCCCCTGCAGCCGCAGATTTTGCTCCGTAACGGTGTGTGTATCGCCCAGGGGAATGCATGCTGCATGCTGCATGCTACACACACGCGCTTCCCGGGCTCCACAAGACACTTCGCTCTTTGGTGCATGCACAATGCAGCCAAACCCGCCCCTGTTCTCTCACCCTCTGTCGTGTGCGGCACAATTGAATACATGACGACAGCCTGCCGCCCCGGTACACCCCAGGTGACACACCTTCCACTTGTTACTTGTTACCCAACAAGGTGGATACAGCAAAGCGATTAGAGAAGGCCGCGTCGTGATTTTCGGTCTGCTCTCTTCTTTGCCACCGGCCACTCACTCATTCTTGTTTGAGCGATTGTGCAAGACATATTTAGTCTAACCCTCAAACCTGTTCAACTTGCATCTGCTATCTACCAAATGTCATCCTTTCCACTTGACGCGCTGTCTCCCTAGCGAAAAGTGTGCCGGGAGATGTCGATAGTGTACCCATACGATAGTGTACATAAAACATTGGTTTACAACGTTGGTGCTCCGGAGGAATGGACGAAGAAACATGCCCATGAAGCGTAAAAAGGAGTGGCAAGCGTCACGTTGCGCATACGAAGTATCGATTTTGATCTTCTCTCAGAGGATCTAGCGGCTAGTTTTGAGCGCTGCTGAGACATGCATGCAGCAGCAGAGGCTGTTGTGTTGTTTGTGTTGGAATGGTGTTCTGTTTTATGTTTCGTCCGACGTTTTGTATGCGCCAGGCTACCCTATGTAGTTCGGTACGCATGTGCTTGACACACCAGCCCGCTCCAATACTTGTACACAGAACGGTATTTACTTTTTGCTTGCGTTGTTTTCTTCTGGGTAATGCACGCGGGGAAGAAGTGTCGCTGGCACCCACAGAAGTAGGAAGCATCAGCGGTTGGAATTTGGTCCATTTGTATTCTGTAATACGTCTCCGGGTTGGATGGCACAATGCAATTCACGCGGTATCTGCCCTTGTGTTATGCATGTGGCAGTTGTGTGCTTTTGAGGTGTTCGATACTCTGACGAATCACCGCCTTATTTGTGACAGCAGGCACCGATAAAAGAGTGGTTTGGCACCCCCTCGGGGTTGTGGCACGGGGGGGGAGGGGGGGGGGGGGACTCATCG